GACGGGAGGGCGTGGGGGGAGCGGGGGCAGGCGCAAGTGGTGCTTGTGGGGGGGTGGGGGGTGGTGGTCGGCTGGCGCGCCGAGTAGCGACTCGCGCGGGGGGTGGGGGGGGGTGGCGGGGGGGGGTTGGGGGGGGGGGAGGGTGTGTCGATGGGGGGGCGGGGGGGGGGGGGGGGGGGGGGGTTGCTGGGCCACGCCTACTCTTATCACTGGGTTCACATCTGGCGGCAGACATGCGTTTTTATGGCTTCTCAGGCCGTTGGGTAAATGGAAATGTTCAAAACACGGCTTATCGCATTTTATTATATTTTATGCCATTTCAAGTGTTCTGCTAATTCTCACTCTGTTAATTGTTTTTTTCATTTTGCGATCGTAGCGCTATCTTCTCCGCTCTGCTCTGCTGCTGCTCACTGAGCGGCATTACGTAACATGTGTTGTCAATTGGCATTTCTTTTTCACGGCCACACACACGAACATGCACACACACACAAACTCGTAATGGCACACAGAGTTGTAAAGTGAGAGTGGCAGGTCAGTCATTCACCGGAATGGCTGTTGCACTTTTACATGTGTATGCAAATGTACATATATACATGTATACAGTCTTTGCAACACCATACTATAGCTGGCGCTTATCGATAATAAAATCATTTGCACCCTCTTACCTCAGCACCGATTGCACGCAGGAGAGCCATCCTGGTTGGGGAAAGAGAGATGCGGATGGATATGGGCAGGAGTGTACGAATACGGGCCGTTTCTCGGTCAGAGGTTTGGGGATCGAGATCGAGATCGTGTGCTGTCCAAACGGTGGTTCCACTAGAACTGAAAGCAATTGCTCTGAGGCTGTGCCAAGTCGAAGGGGCCCGAGTATGTGTATGGTGTGATTGTTGATATACGAGCAGTGGCAGTGGAAAGGTTGGGCTGGACAGACCGTCGAAAAGACTGTCAAACTGGATGGTGTTGTTTGGTTATTGCGAGCGGTGGTCAGGTGGGGGTCGGAGGAGTCCGCCTCAAAATGTGCTTAACGATAGCGCACACGTCAAAACATACATACAGACATATGTATATAAATACACACATACAAACGGCCCGAGAACCTGGCGTAGCAGCTGTCGTTCTTGTTTTTGTTATTTTTTGGGGGCTCGAGGTTTCATTGTGTTGTAAGTGTGTTCGCGTGTATGACGGAATAAGCTTACATATGTGTGAGTTTGTTTTTGCGATGTTTGTCTTTTGCTCGCTACCGAGGGGTACGAAGCATGAGTTAAGTCGAAAAGTCGGACACCCTAAAGTTGTGAATGACCATCCCATGGGAATTAGAATTATCATTTTGGTAATACAATTCATAAAGTATTTTACCAGGCCGACAGGGAATATATATGTATATATACAAAAATATATGTGTATACATATGTAAAATTTCTACCACTTTTCCCACCATGTCATTCCAAAGAGCATTCAATATTCGGTGCGACGCAAAAACAATTTGTATCAATACACGCGTATGTATATACATACATACGCATGTATGTATGAATGCGTGTACTACAGTTTAGTGTATTGGTTATGGCACGTGTTGGATGAAAACAACACAACATACACATCTATATCAATAAAATAGAAAAGTGCATAGAAAAAATAATTCGCATAAAATAAGTGATGGGTTGATAAGTAAAGTGTAAAAAATACAAGTATGTTTGATTGTATGCAACGTTGCATGTACATTAACAACAGACACCACTATAAACATAAGGGTAAACACAACAAGATGGGCCTTTTGCAACGCAAGCCGAAGCACTAAAATATCCCAAACGCTTCTTAAGAAATCCGATTGCCAATCAAAAAAAAAGGATTGCTTTCTTTTAGGCGGAAATTCGAAATGCTCCAGGAAATCGTTTAACCCACAATTAAATTCCTGTGTAAACCGGCTGCTGAGTCCAACCAAGAAGTCTATGCTTATGCTTACGCTTCTCCTTTTCACTCTCCACTTTTCGCCAAGGTAAACAAAGTTGCGCCGGGACTTCCGCTTCCTGGTCAACATAACTAAAATTACTTTCGCTGTTGGCCAGAGTTGCCGCCCTTCACAGGTCACTAGTGCGGAAGCGAAAGGCAAGAGGGCTCCCCAACATGTGTGTGTGTGGATGTGTGCATGGGCCCGAGCGTATAAATAGCCGAGTGACCCGCAGGATTCGCTTTTTCGCTCGGATGCCACCAACGCAGCAGCAGGCAGGCGAGCGCGCTCCGGCCCGATAGAAAACCTTTTATTTTGCTCAGCCAACAAGCTCCTTTGTTGCCATATGGCCATGCCACCACAGCGGTGCTAAGGGAGCGACACCAGCAAAAATGGAAACCGCCACGGGCTATCAGGATATTAGTGCCCTGGAAAAATCGGTATGTAGTGTCCGTCGATGTCTATAGATACAACAGATCTGTGACGCGTAAAACTCCCACTGCAGGTGGCCAATGCTGGTTCCCAGCTGTACACGATGGCCCACAAGCTACACGCGGTGGAGCGCAGCCTGGAGCAGACCACAATGGAGCAGATGGACGAGATGGAGGTGATGGAGCTGCTCGAGTCAATGACCGAGGTGAAGAACGAGTACCAAAATCTGCGCAAGGACATCCAGGAGGTGCAGCAGCTGCAGCGTGACGTCAGCACCTCGATACGCTTTCAAATGCGCAGCATGCAGCAGACATTCCAAATGCTTAAGAAGCGGATTGCCACCTCCCAGGAGCACAAGCAAAAGAAACATCGCCAGCAGCCGCGCACCAACACTAACACCACAACCACCGAACTTCCCGCCATCGTAACTGTCAATGAACACTAGGCGGGGCGAGGCGGGGGCCCAGCGTTGGGATTTGGATTAGGCTTGGGCTTGGGCTTGTGCTTGTGCTTGGGGGGGTGCTTGTGGTCTGGGCAATTTATGAATAATCCATGACTTTTATTGATTGGCCAGCTGCTAGTTAGCTAACCCCAAACAAAGCCAATGCTGAAAGAAATGTGTCAAATCTGGTGGATAGAGAGAGAAGGAGAGAGAGGGAGAGAGAGAGTGGAACACCAGCCGCAATCAAAAGCAATCAACTGGCTAATGGGCACTGGATGCAATATTGATATCAGAAGTAACAAATACGAAGCATTTAGACTCGAAACAGAAGCAGATCCTCTACTTTATATATTGTAAACACACACACACACAGCAGCACACAGAACGTGTATCCTGTATCCTATATCCCCCCTCCTGTGAGGACCTAATGTAAGCGCAAGAAGCACTACTTTATGATGCAAGGAAAACCAAATGTCTGATACCATTTGAATGGGAATGCACTTTTTCAAAATTTGCCTTAACATAATCGTATTGTATTGTACTAATTTTTGATACGACACGTTTTAAAGTACATACGTATAAAACGTACATATGTAATGATGTACATAGATACATACATATGTATACATTAATTAGTCTTAGACGTATCATTATCTTTTATATTTTAATGATACACAATTGCAACCTATTTTTGGCTAGTTTGTTCGTTTTTGGAATATTTGTTAATAGATTGTATAAGCCAGAATTTAGAAAAATTAAAATTTAGAATTAGGATTTAGCTTAACTCCATGGCGAGGGCTCTTTTTTTAAATTCTAAACCAGCCAATTCTAAACGCCCACCCCATCGATGGTGACTTATTTAACTATGCGTTTTGAAAATATGAAGATATTTGATAGTGCACAAGAAATATGATAACGTAAAATGTGAAAAAAAGCCATGTGTTACAGTATTGCACCGCGGTTATATTTTAAACAAATAGTTTGATTTAAAATGTTTAAATAATGTTTCCACTGGGCTTTATTTATTTATTTTTTTCCAATGCGATTTGGAATTTTGAGGGCATTGCACCGATTCTGGGGTGAATTTCGTACCATTCGTCCTTTGGCCTCTCCCACAACTAAATAATTATATTAGCAGGGTCTGCTTAGCTTTTCCAGCTAAGCTTTCACATGGAACTATAAATGTACAATAGTATTCATATCGGAAGACAGTAACGGACACCCCTTGACTGGAATTTTTGTTTTGAAATCCAATTTTTGACCAAAAAGGACGTGCTCTGGGCCATTTTCTCATTTTTTTTTTAGCAGCTAGACTAAAACTTCCGATTAAGCCTGGGAGATCCTGTTTCGGAATGCTTAAATATTGTTCATTTCGCATTATTCCATCGATTAACACCAAGGAATCAGCTCCATTTTCATCAATTCGCCCCCAGACCATAATTGAGCCGCTACCGTGTATAACGGTTTGAAGCACATTACTTCACATTACTTGGTGACTGGATCATATTGTATTATATGGATAGTGGGATCTCTTTTCCAAGAACTAGAGAGTCCGGCTGACTCGAAACTATAAAGTTAATCTGACCATCTGTTCCATTTAAGTTTTCTTTTGTTGAATTGTATGTATCAGTCCAAAATATAACATATAATGTATAAAATTTCTCAAAGTTCATAGAAGAGGTTTCCTCTTCGCCCTCCAAGTGGAGCAGAGTAAAGAACCTAAAGAAATACGAACAAGTCAAAAACGTTGGGGACCACATGGACAAAAGACAAAGACAAAATCGACAAGGGCTTTCTAAAAATGGTCTGAGACATCCACTCCACTGCAAGCAGTAGACCTCCAGAGAATACTCCACCTCTGATTGGACCAGGAGACCCTGAACCTTTGGACATGGGGGAATTTCTGTCCTTCCTGAAATCCAGGAACCCTAATTCGGCGAGAGGCCCAGATGGCATCTCGTTTAGGATGCTGCAGCAACTTCCTGTGCTAGCCAGTCATACCAGGGCTGAGTTTTTCCCAGGCCCCCAGGTCGCACAACAAACCAACTGTTCGGACATCTCGAACAAATACCAAAAATAAACGCTAATTACAAAAAAAAAATACAACGGACTTTACTCTACATCTAACGGACAAACATCTCTCCGACACAGAAAAACTACAAATCTGGGTGGAAATAATCACAAAAAAGTAAATATAAATAATAAAATAAATATAAATACAAATACTACATTTATGTTACATTAATATGGTCGGTAAATATATGTGGGGACGGCTAATTAATTAAATATTATTTTTATGTATATGTAGGTATTTATGTATGCATTTATTTATTTATTTAAGTGCTGGTGGCGCTGTGGTGGGCTCGAGCCCGGGCATCCCTCTTAATGCAGCTGAACCTCTCTTCCTTTGCCCTTGAACCAAGCTCAAGGGCATGGCATGGCATTTCTTTGAGGGTGTGAGTGAGCTGGCTTGTGGATCCGGCAATGTTTTCGAGCCTCTCTTCTATTTTCCCCTTCTCTCGCTATCCGGCAACGTTTATCGCCTTGCCTCTTCGACTATCGACCTGCCAACCTCCAAAAAATACTGCTAAATCCAGTATTTTGCCGATCGATTTCCTTCGAATGCAACACCACGCAAGATTCAGGCGTACCTGGACGGAAGAATTATTCGCAAACAATCGAAAGGAAATCGATACCTAACGGCATGAGATCTTGCAGCGCCCAACCACTAACAAACTAGTATAGTAGCTGCGACGTTGGCAGAGGCCTGGGACTTCGCGACGCACATTCTGCGGTGACGTTTCGCTTCCATCAAATTAAGAATCTACTATACTATTTGGTTAGTGGCCCAACGTACGCTCACACCAACTCGGTTTCTACATGAGTTCCCTATTCTTCTTCCCTTCTACTTCCAAAGCTTCCCGACTACAATTTCAGGTCTTTGGCGTGAAAAATCCCCACCGGCTTCCCCGTCAGGTCTTCAAGCTCAAAGGCATTATTTTCAACCGGGCGTACGACTCGGCACTTCAGGAACTTCCGGGCGAACTTGGCGTTGTAGCTCTTCCCAAAGTCGCTGAGGGTGAAGTTGCGCCTGTGTACCTCTTGCGCTGGTTTGGCAAAAAAATATTCGGGCCCGTTTGTTGTAGCGCTGGCTGCTGCGCTCATACGCTTGGTGAAGGTTAGTCCTGATAAGTTCCCGGATGATGTGGCGTTTATCCGCAGGGTCCAATGCGTGCACCTCATGTTCCGTCAGCTTCCTCTCCAACTTATAGCAGTTCCCAAGGAATATTTGCTGTCCAAAAACTGCAAAAAACGGCCTTACGCCTGTGGCTTCGTGCACCGAGTCACGGATCGACACTTCAATCTCCGGTAGGTACATATCCCAGTCTCGATGATCCTTCTCCAAGTACGTCCTGATTGCAGCTAATGTTGTCCGGTTCACCCTCTCGGCGGCATTTCTTTGCGGTGAGTAGACTGCTGTGCGCAGATGTCGGACGCCAACGGAGCTGATCATATCTTGGAAGATCTTCGACAGGAACTGCTTTCCGTTGTCGGAGTGGATCACCTCGGGCACCCCAAACTTGTAGGAAACTTCCTGTACTAGGAATTGAACTACGTTCGCTGCGGTCGCCTCTCTCATCGCTTTTAGAAAGGTGAATTTAGAGAAGTGGTCTACGACGACAAAAATCCAGGCTTGTCCCCTTTTCGACCGCGGATACTTCCCCAGAAAATCGATGTATAATTTCTGGAACGGCCTCTCCGTTACGAATTCCTGACCGATCCCTACCTGGCTTCGATAATTGAGTGCTTTGGACTCCTTACATGCTTCGCAGTTCCAGATATACTCCCTCACTTATGTCGTCATCGCTGGCCAGTAGAATTGTCTTCTTAGCCGATGCAGGGTCTTTTTAATTCATGGGCCTTAGAGATGAGAGTTTCCGTCAGTGCCGCGGGAATCCATAATTTCCAAATGGACCCTTCCACTTGGTAGTAAATTTGGATGAAGGCCATCCGCTTGAATATCACATCTCCTACCACTCGTAGGTGGGGCAGCATGGCTTGATTTTTGCCGATTTCTCCTTTTAGCTCCTGATATTCTGCCGACTTAAATTCTGTCGTCGGGAACCCTAGGATCTCCCTTGGAACTATCACCACTTCGTCGATGCAGCGTGAGAGTGTATTTGCCACATCCCAAAGTCGAACCTCTGCAGTCGCAATGACCACCTCGCAAGACGTCCGTTTAGGTCCTTCAATGACATGAGAGATTTCAGACTGGCGTGATCCGTGATAACCGTGAAGGGCATCAACTCAACGTACGGTCTGAATTTCTCAATGGCCAACACCGCAGCTTAACACTCTTTTTCCGTTACAGAATAATTTAGCTGATGCTTGTTTAACTTGGCTGAAAAGAAAACCACTGGACGCTCGGCTCCTTCGTCGTCCAACTGAAACAACACTCCTTAATTTGATGCGTCGCACTGTACGTAGAAAAGCTTCTTGAAATCCGAATGACTCAATACCGGCGCCGTGGTAAGTGCCTTCTTCTGGGATCCCATCGCCGTCTCGGCCTCCGTCGACAAGGAAAACATTCCACGCGGATGCTTCTTCAGCGCGTCTGTCAGCGGCACTGCAATGAAAGCGTAATCCTTGATGAAGCGCCTGTACCATCCTGCGGTTCCTAGGAAGCTTTTTAGTTCCTGCACTAAACGTGCCAACCTCTGATAATATTTCAGTGGTATTTCAGTGGCCTAAAGCAGAATTTTGATTTTTTCAAGCCTATTGTTAAATTTGCTTTTCGCAGGCACTGAGCCACCAATCGAAGGTACCTGAGATGCGTCTGGAAATCGGGAGCTATCACCAAGAGATCATCAAGATAGACGAAAACGTTTGATCTCAGCTGCGTCGGGATCACTTTGTCCATCACTCGGCATAACCTCTGTGCAGCGTTACACAGACCGAAGGGCGTCATCACAAATTGGTACAGCGGACGACCTGGAACTGTGAAAGCGGTGCATTTCCTGATTTCTGGATCCAGCTTGATTTGCCAGAACGCAAATTTGAGGTCTACACTTGAAATGTAGTGCGTCTGGTCGATCCTGGACAGTATTCTCTCGATGCTAGGAAGAGGGTACGCGTCTTTGACGGTGAGTTGGTTCAGCTTTGGGGCGTCTAAACAAAATCAGTTTATGTTAGGTTTCCGCACTACCGTCGTCCTATTGCTCCACGGACTATCGCTAACCTCTATCACTCCTAGTTCCAGCATCTTGTCCACTTCGGTCCAGACCACTTCCTGCATCGCGGGGGATTGGGGTGGTTTCGATCTTTAAAAGGCTCCGCGCCCTCTACCAACTGGATCCGATGCTCCTCTACCGTCGTTGACCCTAATGCGGCACCTTCGTAAGTCAGAAACTCCTTCTTCACCTCGTCCAGTTCTTCAGCTTCCTTCTCTTCCAGGTGGGATCTGGAAGTCCACATGTACGTTCTCCTGGTGGTCTTCGGCATATTGGGTGATCTGTGACATCTGGACTTCGGATATTTTGGCATCGCTGGGCGAACTTGGATTCGCTCCGACGACTGTGGGAGCCAACTCGAACCAAAACTCGACCTCCAAAAATCGACCCCAAGTACATGACTTGCTCCAAGTATGGGCAGATGTAAAAGAGAATGTCCTTGCTGATTCCTTTGTACTCCACCGGGATTCTCGCTTTGCCGATTATGGTCCTGTCTTCTCCTGATGCCGTATTGACGAGCGAGACTTAGTTGTCCATCTCCACCCCAAGGTCGTCTAGGAGCTCAAGACTGCCCTTTCCGAGGACACTTACGAACTACCCTTGGGTCACGTCCTGATCCACGCCTGACTGCTTTAGCCACCTCCTTGCGAGTCTGTCT